CAAGTGGCTGAGCTTGAGAAACGCTGATCTAGCTGCCATCTCTCAAGACGGTTCTCTCCTGCTGTTGAACAGCTTTTACTGATGCCCAAAAGATGGCGACCTGGATCTCATGCCCGGCCTCAATGCCCAATGCCCGTTTAACGCGGCCGGCACTGGGTTCCCGGGCCAGGAAGGCCTTGACTGCCGCTGGCCGAAGAACGGGAGAGCCGAGGGGTGTCTGCAGGATGTACCGCCGTGCCAGCCAGGCGGTTCAAGAGATTTGTTGGCTCTTTCAGGCCAAAGTGGAGTGGGGACACAAAAGGGGGAGGAACCCTGTTCTGTCCCATCGCTTCCTCCTCCGCCGGAGCCTTCCCATGGTTGCAGCCACAGCCCGTCCCCGGTCATTTCCCTTCTGGGCACTTCCTCCGATTAGCCCCTGGGTGACAAGGCTCTATTCATAGCGGGGAAGGGAAATGGAGGGTGCCACAGGCGGAGAGCTGGGCAGGGTCCGAAGGGGGGCTGGGAAAAGCTGACAGCCCCATAGCCAACCTGCAAATAGCGAGAGGGCTGGCTGTCTCCCCCATGCCCCCCGCTTTCCCAGGGGACTCTTCCTGATTGAATGCTGAGACAAGTTTCATTTCGCCCGAGGGGCCTTTCCAGAGAATTGGAAATCTCTTGAGAGTAAAGGGGACGGGGCAGGAATCAGTAAGCAGCGTTTCTCAGCCTTGGCGACTTTAAGATGCGCGGACTTCGGTTTTCAGTGGTTTCCATGTGCACAACTCCAAGAGAGATTTAATAAAGACAAGGGGGTAATTGGAACAGAAAAACGTGAAACGGAATTTGAAAACGAACTTTTCTAATAGTTCTAATATATTAAATAATTTCCGTTAGAAATTATAGAACTAAATAATTTCTAAATAATTATTTCTAAATAATTTCTAAATAATTTCTAACGGAATTCTGGGAGTTGAAGTCCACACATCTTAGAGCCGCCAAGGTTGAAAAACACTGAACTAGTCCATCTTTAGCCATGGAGGCTCACCAGCTGACCGTGGGCCAGATACTCTCTCAACTCAACCGACCTGCGGGTTCACTGCAGCAAGACAGGATATAGGGGAGGGGTGTGCCTCCTAACTCCTTTATATTTGGGGCTGTAATTCCTGCATCCAGATCTCGCCTCCCCTCTTCCCTTTAAATGGGGAGGCTATTCTAAATGAAATCACAGCCCCTTAAAAGTGCAGTTGGCTTCCTGTTTTTTAAAAATCTCGCTCTGGTCCTTGCACCGGCTCTCTGACCTGCCACTCAAAGCCCTTGGGTGGATGGACAAGAACACCGTCCAATCAAATACCCCTTTCCGTTCCGGGAATCCTCTTTCAGTAAGTTCTTTAGGCCTGGTTGGCAGTGGGATGGGAGACCACGCAGAGATCCCAGGTCTGAAAAAACATCCAGGAAGAAGGCAAACTATTTCTGTAACACCTGGAAACCACCCTGAATCTTTGGAGCTTATTAGAGTATTATTGTAA